GGGTTCGGGGACGGCGACGACTGGGCGCTCCTGTCCGCGGAGGAGGACTTCTCCCTGTCCTCCGCCATCTCCTCTCTTCTCAGGGATCTGGACCTGGTGCTGGATGGGAGCTCCTCTCCGGGCCCCCAGCAGCAGCAGCAGCAGCAACAACAACAACGGGCCCCCCTGAGCTCGATCGAGAACCTGCCGAGCGACTGGGGGTCCAAGCAGGACGGCCTGCCCTGTCGGGCGGAGAGGCCCGGCGAGGGCCCGGAAGCCTGCAGGGCCCCCGAGCCGGTGTTCGGCAGCTTCGAGATCATGAGGTCCAGCTACCTCACCGACGTCGCCTTGGACGACCTCTTCCCGGACATCGACACCTCCGTCTACGAGCGGGAGGCCGGCGCGCTGGGCGGGCGGACTTTCCCGGTGCCGCCCGGGGACGAACTCCTCAAGTACCTGTCCTCCTGCTCCCCCGCTTCCTCTGCGTTCTCCCCATCCCCCGCCGTGCGGGACCTGAATGAGCTGGAGCACATCATGGAAATCCTGGTGGGCTCCTGAGCCCCGGTGTCTTCTCCGTCTCGGCCTGTGGGGAAACTGGGCGAAGGGTTTACAAACTGGTGCTTGCAGGGCTTGTGTGTGTGACTTGTCCCCAACTCGCCTTGAGAAGCGATGAGTTGGTAAAGTGTACTTTCAAACCTTTCCCTGACAAGGGACTAAAGAGGACATTTTTGAAGGCTTGGAGGTGTTGAAAGTTTGTGGCGCCTTTAAAGATAAGTGCGGCTTTTACAGCAGCTCAGCACCGACACGGTAAAGGGCTGACCGAATCGATCCTTGCTCCTGTGCCGAGGATCACGGTTATTTTGTCTCGTGAAGAGTTTTATTGGCAGACTGTAAGCCTGCCTATTTAAGGAAACTGTATTCTGAATCTAGCCTAGATTCCAGTCCTCAACCCTTAAAGACAAGGAAGTGTCTGTGCCAAGCTGCATAAATGAGCTCAAGTTTAATTCTCTGGCCAGGTTATGCCTCTTGTGAGGGAAGTGTTTGACAAATGATTGTTGACTGACATTGAAATCTTGTCTTCTGTGAAGATCCTTTTTAAACATATTTATTGCTATTATTATTATTAGTTTTTTTAACATTCTGAATAACTGAAGACCTCTCAACAAGCAACGCCTTACTGTAACATGGAACTGATTTACAATGACGTCAGCTTCTCCGAAAGGAACTGTCGGCTTTCTCATCGGCTGGTGCAGAAATCACAACTACCTCCGTTAACTGGGTTTCCCATCAGGCTAGGCTGGCAGGGTGCCAGTCCTTCAAGACCCATTTAGCCTGCCTTTCTGTTTCAGTGAGTTTCTGAAATATTTCATTCATCCTGGAAGTCAGAAATATTCTAATGTTTTATGTCTCCGTTATATCTACAACTTACCTTAATGCTACCTCATCTTCTGCATGAAACCATTTCCCCCTGCACAGTGTAGTACAAGAACAATTGAAAAGGATGAACTAGTCTAAAAAGTATTCCTTTGAGAGTCCAAGCGTTTGTGGTAAAGAGTCTAAATTATCTCATTTATTCTAAAACATTTTTGCTTCAATTTTACTGGTAAACCCTTGCCTGTTTTGAAGTAAAATAAGGCTAAGTTAATTAAATATTGCAAGCCAATGCTTTGTAAGAGAGGTGAAATATTCCTTTGCAATAATTTAAACTGTAGTGGAAAATTTCCACTTTTAACTCTTATTCATAAAAGGGACCCATGGGGTAATCTTTAACTCTTATCACAGTCCTGTAATGTATGAGAATCTGAAACTGAAACATCTGTTTCAATGCTCAATGTTGTATAGATCAATGCTTTTATTACTTTTTTTTTTTACTATTTAATGAAGAAAAACCTGATGGTTAAAAAGCCATATTTATTTGTAGATAGATTAAGATATTTTGTAAGCCTTTGAGGAAAAAAGTAGAAGGGGTTTTGGTTACCTACAGTTTTTGCATTGCTTATTTTTTTGCCCACTATCACTACATAGCTTAAAGTGTGCATGTTATCTTCAAATTTCCGAATTACTGTCTTTTTGTAATAGCAAAAGTGTACCAAAAGTTCTGAAATCTGCTATACCTCTCTTCAGGGTCTTTTGTTCTTGTGTAAAAGCTGTTGTAAACACTCTGTACATGAAAGACCTGTACATGAGGGAACTACAAGCCTGGCTTTCCAAATGAATGATCATTAAGGCTGAGACAATGCATGGATCTGTACGTACACTATAATTGGGTCACTTGGTAGCACATATTTATTCTTTAAGATCACGAATGTCTTCCTCTGAATTCAAGTTTTAAAATCAAACACTGACTGCTGTTGACATTAATATTTTCAGGTGTGCTTCACTTCAGGTGAAGGTGGGGTTCGGTTGTGAGAAAGTTTTCCACAGAAATTTAAAGGTCACCAAAAATTTACCTAGTTTTTTAACCTTTTGTACCGTCAGCTGATTAGTGCATTGTCTTAGGCTTTGGCCTGGCCAACAAAACAGCTTTCACTAACCCGTAACCAAAAGACTCCCCCTAAAATCTGTAGTATTTCATTAGGTTTCTTATGGAAGAAGTTGACTGTAAAAATGACAAAAAGGCACAATTTGCACATTCTGCCTTCAAGTGAAAAGTGTACTTTATTTCTTTGTTCCGGGGCAGTTACTGTTCAGTGTTGACACATTCATAAACGGACACAAGTTTTACACTCATTTTATGGGGTTTATATATGTTGAAGCATTGCCTGGTTATGTTGAATCACAGTACAAATTATGGTTTGAGCAAAGTATATTTGAACATTAGTTTTTTTTTATCCATATATGTTCAAGAACTAAGAACTTGGTCTTGTTCATTGTTTTCTTGCACGGTCATTCAGTATCTTCTCATCCAGCTGTCTAAAGGTCTTCTGATTTTCAATCTGTATGATGTTTGTACAAGAAGGCTGGGGTATTTAAGCCTGGGCTGTTTAAAGTACAATGTCCAAGCGCAGCATTTCAGTCTGGTTCTCTGAAATCAGTGTTATTAGTGTATGAAACCAGTGTTGCTGGAGAAGTACGTTTGTCTGTTGAACGGCTAGAAACTGTCCTTTTTGACCTTTTATAGAGCCTGGGGTGCACAGTTTCCTGAAGTATATTTTATGCTCCTTGCTCTACAGAGGACATTGAAAGTCTTGGTGCACTTAAAGTGCATTTCTGGGCTCATTGGATGGCAATAATAAGTGCAGTATTTTTCATTTTTTAAACTTTGATTTACAGTAATACACCTGCAATTTTGCCTTGTTTCCTTTTAATCATGTGAATGTTTTGTTTCAAAGAATGTGAGTTTTTATATGATATGCCTCCTTTGTATACTCTAGTGCAGTAGCTACAGGTTTACATAGTTGAAGGACTCATAACTTATTTGCCGAGCTCCTCCTAGTGTCTGGAACAGTGTCATCTCTCAGCTGTTCCCTAAAGGTGTTTTACAGAAAGCCAGGTCTGACTTGAAAAGTGAACTGGCTCCTCTATTCAAGAAAATTATTAAGCATCTTAAGAAGATGTTTTAATTTAATGTTTATTTATTAAATGTGCAGGCAGACGTATCTGCAGGCATTCTTGAGCAGATGGAAGAATGCTCACATGAAATAGCAAGAAATTCCACACCAACAAAAGCATTCAGGTACATATTGAGTTGCTCCATCTATGCAAACACTAAAAAGTGTCCAATTCTCTTGTAATTACTTTTTATAAATAAAACAAATCAACCTAGTGCCTCGGTGTCAGTGGTGGTCTTTTGAGAATGGTGTGCAAAGCATGTATCGATTACTTCCAAAAAGAAATTCAAAGATTTGATTGCAGGTAAGTGACGTTCAAAGCTTTTGAGATATTAAATATTTCAAAGACTGTGTATTTGGTGACAGCCAGGAGCAGTATCATCACAACTGGCAAACCAAAAATGACAAGTAGGTAGGAGTCTGGCCAGTACTCTGACGAGAGATCTCCTGGGAAAGCAAAGGTTGCTGCTGGAAGAGGTTAATGGGACCAGCAGGAGTTCTCACCCTGTTGCATGTGTGGGTCCTAATGGCCTGGTATGGTGATGGGGACACCATACTGTAAAAAAGGCACTGGTGTTCTGGTCAAATTTCTCCCTGGGCTTTACCAGTCATGGTCTCCTCGGTGTACCAGCATTCTTGGGTTGCCATAGCATCATCCAGGTAGGGCTACATATTGGTATTGGTGGGAGTTCCCATTACCTGTAAAGTGCCTTGAGCATTATCTAAGCATAAGCATTATTATTATTATTATTATTATTATTATTATTATTAAAGGGGAACTGCAATGCTTTTTTTGTTTTTTGTTTTTTTTTGGGGGGTTAGAAAGAGCATTGATAAATGCATTACAAACCACAATTAAAGCAAAATGTACACAGTACCATGTAAAACCACAAAATTACATTTTCAGATATGCACAGTGTCATGTTCTGTGACTCAGAGGCCAGTAATTGCAGTGATGTGTTGTGGCCCTATTGCGTTGTAAACGAGCAGGCTTGTGAATACATGTCTGCATGTCTTTTAATCCAATAGAAGTATTGCTGTCGGCTTCCAGACATTTTGCCCTCAAATACAAACACAGGCTGGAATATTTCTGCGGTGAAATATCTGCTGCACAACCTGAACTCTTACATCGCATTTAAATGAGTGATTACAGAGAGCAGGAAGGGCCATCTAACGTCACTTGCCCGGGGCGAGAACAGGGATCTGCAACAATATGATAATTTCACAAAGTTCACGATTTTGTGTTCAATTCGGAATTTGTAAAATTTTACAAGACCGTGAATTAATTAATAGCCGGTCTGAGAAATTGGGACTGTAGGCTCCCTTTGAATTTGCATGCTGCTTTTCAAAAATTGCACATCTAATTCAGGAACGCACAGACCGCTTTCTCTGTCGCGCGTAGTCTTTTAAGGGCCTAAAACGCAAAAAAAAAACAAACAACGCGCTAGAAGAGGCACGTTCTCCCGTCGTGTCGTCGAGAGAAGGAACCCGGGCGCGCGGCGGGGCCGACATCGGAAACTCCGCGAGCTCCGAGGCTGCAATCATCCATCAAGCGGAGGGGGAGCGGCGCCACGTGACGCACAGCGGGGGGAGGTGGGACAGGAAACATGGCTATAACGCCTCTCGAGGGAATGTCGATTTCAGGGTACAGTGCTGTAAACCTGATCGTCTAAAAAATTGAAAACAGTGGTCCACAGGCTGCCTGCAAGTAACCTCTTCCATGCTAAATTTTAGTTTGGGCATAAACTATTACCCCTTTAGGTTGTAGTGATTAAATATGACACTAAATCTCATTACCCGTATCTCTATCGATTGCACTGCAGCAGCCCGGGTATTTGCTGTTCTCGTAGATTTACGAAGCTTATTTTAATGAATATAAATGCATTATCCATGTGGCTATCCAAAAACCGTTAAAAATATAATTTCACGATTTTTTTTTTCAAATTACAATTATAATGCGTTTTTTCGAAGATTTATCAATCGTGTGTTCGGTTGTTTCGTTGCGCGTTTTCAGATGTACATTTTGATTCTCCGTTGTTTATGCCAAGTGAATGCCATGGTCTAAACGCCAAAGCCCTCATTCGACCATGAAAAGATAACACAATCGATTGAGTAACAGTTTTTACGAATGTTAAGCGTCACTATGGTAACTTGATACCGGTGTGTTTGGGTTTGTCAGCATAGTGACGGCCTCCGATGAGCAGCCGTCTAAATCTGTTACAGCGCCGAGTTTTAAAATGTTAGATAGTTACGGTCTAAAAAACAGCACTCTCTGAATGCACTGTTAGTCCTGTATTTCCATCTAAAACACGCATTGCATAATGATATTCCAATGCGGGTGAAGTAAAATTAGAAAAAAACTCGTGGAAGATGTGCATCTGTACTACAATCTGGGTTAAATACTGTATAGCTACTGCCACCTACTGGACAATTTCTGAAATCATTATTTTCATAAATTGCGCGTTTTCGCACTGTGTTAGAAGAATCGGTGCTTTTCACGTTTAACTATATGTTCGTGCAAATAACAGGTCACATGGTATTAAATGGTTAAAGTAATGTTGAATTACTTAAATGAAAAGATACAGTAAGTATATTTTACTTACGTAAAAGACTAGTAAAAACCAACATCGCCCAACGTGGGGCTCGAACCCACGACCCTGAGATTAAGAGTCTCATGCTCTACCGACTGAGCTAGCCGGGCTTGTGTTGTACAAGCTTTTCGTGGGTCTGTAATAAAGAAATATTGTAACATAACTACTTTGCTGTTTTAGAATTGAAGTATAGTTATTGATTGATTTCTTATTGCACGACGCTTTTATCCAAGGAGGGGGGAGGAATAATTTGAACCTCAAAGCGTTACTATTTAACAAATAACTGTGAATTAAATAGTACAAAACAGATGGGCTATTCTTTATTATAAAAGACGCTAAGCACGGCGGAAAAAATCAGCAAGATTAAAACATATTTAAATCCCCACTTCTGGTCTCTGCTCGGTGTAGTTGTAGTGGATTTCATTGCTCGCGTGGGTAACGCCGGGTCGTGCTGGCAGGGTTGACGTCATAAAGTCGAACTCCGAACTCCTCTAAAACTGATTCACCTTTAGCAGGATGACAACACAAAGTCGACACAGACATCCATCCGATGGAATTTAATGTTTAACAATTACGTACGTTTTTTTTACAACGAATTTTTTAAACGATATAGCCGCACACCCTTTCACTCAAATTGACAAAGTACCTACCAGGTACAATTTGTAAATATAAGTCTATCCGGAGAAGCAGCTTTATAAACGTGACGGTATGTATATGACAGGATTAAAAGTGAGTAAGCAAAATTAATCTTATTTTTCTTCTAAATCTTATTGAAGAAAAAAAACGTTGAAGAGTTGTTGTGTTGAAATGGTAAACGTGTGCTCCGTGCAGACTACAGCTTTTATTAGCTATAAAAAATATTTCGCAGTGCAGCTGTTTGAAATGTTACGATGATGCATTATATCGGTTTTGTATTATCTATTGGTAGCTAATTGGTAAAATATGTAATAACCATAAATGCGTTTCTGTGAAGAAAATGTGAGGAATTACAAATGTAAGCGAGCATATTGGGTGTTAAGCATTTTGTATTTTTTTTAAAATGTTATGCATTTTATTCACACTTTAGAATCTGGAATTGTTATACTGAGGAGAAAACAGACAGATGTTTGCATAATAACCAGTCAGATTGTTTTACTGCAGTGGCTTGCTTCGACAGTCTTGGTAGACAGTGGGTTAATAATAAATCAGACCAACTGTGATCTCTCAGTACTGTTTCTCTCATATGCTCCCAGATACGCCATCCTGCCTTCCTTAGAGAATCGTTTTTTTTTTTGCCCTGTACTGGCGTGTGATTGGTGAATTGTACTATCAATCTTCACGACGCCTCGGTGCGTCTGCTTTTCATTGGTCGGGCGTCTCCGTTCAGGCGGTACATCGGAGCCTGCCTATTGGCTGGATCCTTACGTGCATCGCGCGCTGGACTGATTTACCACGCTTTGATTGGTCAGACATTCATGTTCGGTTGTGCGCTGCTAATTGTATTTTAAAGAGGCAGGCCTTACCGATTTGAATGGTTTTTTTTTATTATCGTACTGTACAAAGTTGAATGTAAGCCATTTAATTTCGCGTATTTGCATTATTTTGTGGTCTAATTATTTTCATCTCAGTCAATTCATCTCCGCAGTATGGATTACTCAACAACCTCTAGCGGGTTCAGACAGCGTAAGTTACGTACGTCAGATTTATTTGTATTTAATTTTCACTTTTCCGTGACACTTTCCTATTGTATGAAAGGGGGGGTCAAACAGGATATATCATGTCTGAAAAAAGGAGAAGATGGTGGATATTTTAGTGTTTTTACTAATGTGCGCAAGATATATCTGTTTCAGAAAATGTCACTGCCAGATTATCTGGGCTCCTGTTTTAGTTGTCTTTTTGAGCTAGACAAGGCTGCAGCGCACTGTCCGTAGCCAGTGTAAGCGAAGGAACCGTACAACAGGATCTCGACACAGTGTAGCGGAGTCAGAGATGCCGGTCCTCTGCGCTGTGTTGCTGAAAGAAGCTCTTTGAATTGAGAAGTAAAACTAAGCGAAGCGGAAGACGCAAGTGTACAGCTGTCGTCTTTTTTGCAGGAAACGAAGTTTTTCCCCATTTTACCTGGGTAAAGCACAATTGACATTATTCCTAGCACAGCGGTTTAAGTACTACGGTAGAAGGCTGTTTGAACCGCAGTGCCAGTGAGGAGGGTACCGAGTAAGACCACAGCCGGCCCAGTGCTTTCTGTAGCTGTTGGGGCAGAGGGTTCGTTCATGGCCCTAGTTCTTCGGCACATGTTTTTAAAGCCTGGGAGTCTTGATATTTGTAATTTAATAATGGTCCGTGAACAAAGCCGTGACATTTCGTTAGGCAATACAGGCTGTGAAGTTTTCAGTCAGTCTTGTCCACTGGAGAAAATGCAATTAGAATTTTTGTCTTGACTCATCCAGAGTTCTCCTTTTCATCTTTGTGTAAGTCTACCATAGTGCTTGAAAAAGCCAGTTTTAGCTTTGTTTGAAATATCTTCTTGTCTTGTACACATATTTCATAGTCTGGTCCTTGTGGAACACTGACATGCAGTGTTTTAATTCATAAGCAGGACAGGGTGTAGGGACCTGCCAAAATGTTTTTTGTCAGAATGAGGTCTGACGCATGAACAGTGTCCTAAAACGCAGCACTGCGCAGATGAAAATCCAAGGAGATAAATTGGCTGAAAAAGGATTTTTTTTTGTAGCATTCAATAGATGTGTCAAAGTTTTTTTTTTAACATATCAGTCGTCTGTGTGAGTGTCTGCATCAGGCCCTGCAGAATGTAGCTGTTCTGTCTGGTACTGTGCCTCTTGCGGATGGTCCCAGCTCAAGATCTCAGTCCCAGGAATAGGATTCAGCACAAGCTGTCAACCTGGGGCACTCGCCTCACCTCTAAACTATGACGGGATTTCAGACCTGCTTCTGTTGTCCCTCTATATAGCAGGGGGGTTTGTTTCTAGAAGGTGGTATGCTTCAGAACTATACTGGCTTTAGGGGTTTGATGTCAATGTGCTCTAGTTTCTGTCGTGGTAGTAAATCTGGGCACAGACCGAACTAGGTACTAAGCACAGCATCTTTTAGAAAGGGTGAAGGACTTCTAGCGCTCCAGAAACAGGAAGGGGGGGGGTATTTTTAGTTCAGATCAGAGGAGGCTCTTTCTCCCACGTGAAGTCTTGATTCAGATGCCAGAGGGGGAGGCTCTGTACTGTTTCCCTACAGGAGACAGGCCGACGTTATATATAGTATAACAGTATAGTGCACAGTTTACAGACAAGCTGCTGACAGCTACCATAAATGAATACCTACAGGTTTATTGACAATATGTGCATTTTAACAGCACATATGGCAACATTTATGGGTTGCACATCCACAGTGTTCAGAAGCTGGGTTCAGAAAACGAGCATTCAGCTTTATAAGAGACACTGGAGTGCAGTTTCAGGAATTGCGTTTTAAGGAAAGGAGAAAGTGCCTTTTAAATATGTGTCAAATCCAGTTTAGCAGAGAAATGCCTGACTGTGCCTTGAGGTGGAAAGGCCCAGCACCTGGAGAGAAGAGTCCAGCAGAGACGTGGGCTCATGTGACTTGCTCAGCTCTGAGTGCCAGCTGGCTGTGTCCTGTCAGGCCTCCTGGTTGTTGTGGCACCACTCCACCAGCTCTGCTGCCTCGCTCCTGTGACCTCTTCAAGGGACATCTTGGCTGCGGATGAAATAATGCAGTCTTTATTCTTGAGAGAAATTCATTCTGGGCGAAAACATCTTGTGATGTTCCACTGAGGTCGAGACAAGCTGGGGTTTTTGTGCTGGGCGCAGTGTGGAGGATGTGGAGCATTTTCCTTGGCTTTGGAATTTCCTGGGATGCAACAGCACCGAATGAATCAGCATAACCCAGCAAATGTCACCTGTAGGTTTGGGATTCCTCTTCAGTTTTAAATGCTTCTACTGTAGATCAAGACACAGCCTACAGCGACATGTTTATGCTGCTGTGTTTGCACAAGGGCTTCGTGAATTTATTACGCCTGTATTTAGGCGGCGTATTCCAGGAGGTTAGGATGAAGTTGCCTTAGGTGAGTAGGTGATGACAAATCAAGGGTTGCTCGGCTTTTGGGGTCGATAAATAGGAAACAAAAACACACAGAGTGATGTGCGAGGCATGCTTCTCGCTCACCCCAGCTTTCGCTGCTCGATTCTAATCAAATGCTGAATGCTTTTTCCACTGCAGGCTCACTCGGTGAGAGTGCAAATCCACAGCAGAATAACCTGACGGCGACTGAGTAGGAAATTGTTTAAATGCACAAAACATCCCTAGTTGCACATTTATTTGGGAGCATTAGACGAATAAAGTATTAATTTCATGCACTTCCCTATTTATCTCTTTTAAGGTGAGCTGTTTGTACCTTGTCTCTTGGAATTCTGACTCATAGGAGTTTTCCTCCAAAGTATACTAACAACAGTTCAGCTGCTCGGGACCAGTCCTACCAGTTATTTACCAGAGCCCTAAAGCTTGGGGCCCAGTAGAAGAGTGTGGGGAAACGGCACAGTGTTGACTTGGAACAGAAGATCAATCTCTGCAACACCTCTGCCTAGCGAGGGGGTGCGATTCCTCTTTTTCCACAGAGTAACTGTCTTGGCCTGCAGCCTGTTCATGTGAAAAGCAGAGATGCGCGCTGCCCTTGTGTGTAATGCACTGCAGTGCCAGCGTATGGAGTGCGTGCCTGCAGGCACTCCTCGCATGGCTGCAGGCCTGCGTCCGTCTCTGCGTTCTGATCTCTGACCTGCGAGGGTTTTGCCGCTTCCAGAACAGAAAGCGAGAATGAGGAACGCGACGCCGGACGGGCCCGAACCCAGCCAGCTCTTCGATGACACCAGCACCGGCAGGAGGGCGGCGGGCCCGGGTTTCAGGGGCTCAGAAGCAGCGGGGGCGGGCTACCCAGGACAGGCTCTGCTCTCCGACCCCATGTCCAATCTGGCAATGGCGTATGGTAGCAGTCTGGCCAGTCAGGGAAAACAGATTGTGGACAAAAATGTAAGTAGAGGCTTAGTCCCTTAGTCATGGGGTAAGGACATCTGAAGCCGGAGTCTGAATAATAACCCTTTGCATTCCTTTAGTGCCTTTTCTCCTAAATGGTATCTTCATGGATTGCTCAGGGCTCCATTCATCTGCCGCCGAAATGTAAAATCCTCTTGGATTTATATTACAATATCATCATAATTGTATTCATAATAGGAGAGTAGCTTTCAAGACCGTTGTTGGCAAAATGTTCTTGCACAGTCAAGAACATTTTTTTTAAGTTTTTAAGCCGCTATTTAACGAATTTTTGCCTTCGTTTGCATGCTTGCTGCTTGCCTTCGCAGCTCATACGTGCGTGCTCGCGTTGTGCGTGAAGACAAGGCCCTTTGTGTGCTCGTTACAGCTCCTCTGTAGCAGTCAGTGTTAACGAGGCTGGCATCGCTACAGGAAGAAACGATGAGGTCTCTTCTTTTGTTGAAGACGCCCCGTCGCTGTCACAGCTGGGCCTGCAGCAGTGCCTGGCCGGCTTTGTTAACTGAGTCCACTAAGGATTCCAGTTCTGTGTTCGGGGCATGTGTGCTTTTGACTTTCCTGACTATAAGCCTGCATGATTCCAAAAAAAAACAAGGTGTCAAACTGACCAGTTCTGAACCCCACAGCTGGACAGATTCATCCCCATCTCCAAGCTGAAATACTACTTTGCTGTGGACACGGTCTATGTGGGCAGGAAGCTCGGCCTGCTGGTCTTCCCTTACATGCACCAGGTATTGATTTTTGCTTTTAACTGGAATTGGATTATTTGCGTGGAATGTAACCCAGCGATTTTAAGCCTCCTGTTGTGCAGAGGTGTTCTGAGCTCTGCAGGGCCACGTGGCGGCCGGTTTCGCGCACTGTTGCCCAGTGCTGCATGCAGATCATGGCGTTCAGGAGCAGAAGGGGTCACTCCGATAAGCTTCTGGATCAAAGCAAGGCTTTTTGTCAACAGACAGAAGCAATGCACAAAACATCTGGCCAGCTGAGCCCTCGCCTCTGTAACTGCCGAATAGTGACAGCGGGAGATGTCTGGCTCATGTTTGGATGCAAGACCTTGAAGTTCACAGTGACTAGAAACACTCCATATTCACCTCTGAGAGAAATAATGTGAGAACACTGGCTTCCAGACAGCTGGATTTACCAGAGTGGTTCATGCTGAAAGGGAAACTTTTAGAATCGATTCTGTGTCAGTAGATTAGAGATTCTGTATTGCTGTGACCGATCTCATTCTGAGGCTTGCTTACAGGTTTTTTAATTGCTGAATGTACAGCATGTACTGCTCAGGGTCAGAAGCCTGAAGTGGGGTGCAGCTGTTTCTCTCCCCTGGGCTGATTGCCGCTGCGTTGGCAATTCAGTGGTCCCCCCCCTGGCGTGTTTGCCTATGTGATGGGAGACATTGAAGTGCTCTTTTGTAATCCTCTCCTGGCTTTCTGTGCAGAACTGGGAGGTGAGTTACCAGCAGGACACCCCAGTGGCACCCAGGTTCGATATCAACGCCCCTGACCTGTACATTCCAGGTAAGAACAGCACTGCTTGGGCCAGCAGGGGGCTGAGGTTCCTCCAGCCAGCACATAGCCGCCCGTCATCAGAGTTTTGACTGCGCTTGGTAATAATAATGTTTCTTTATTAGCCCTATACAATTTCTTGCATTAGGAATGCGTCTTTTCGCATACCCCAGCTTTTCTCCAGGGAGACACAGACACACAGACAGGGAGAGAAGCTGGGGGTCAGAGCGCAGGGTCAGCCATTGTACGGCGCCCCTGGAGCAGTTGGGGTTAAGGGCCTTGCTCAGGGGCCCAACGGAGTAGGATTCCTCTGCCGGCCACGGGATTTGAACCGGCAACCTTCCAGCCACAGGTTTTCCAGGGCCCAATGCCGTGTCGGAATGGCAAACCGTGCCGCTCCTTGCCTTAACGCTACACTGGCGAGATCAGCCACAGCTCGATGAGCTCCGCTCCGGATACAAGACTGAATGGACACAAGAAGCCCCCATCTGTTCTGGAAGCGAGGACCACATGACTGGTGCATCAGCATGTACTAACAGTATAGTTCCTTTGCATCTGACTGATGGGAACCTCAGAAAGGTTACAAATGAGAGGAGGCCATTAGGCTCATCTTGCCCGTTAGTTAATTAGTAGTTAATTGATCCAAGGATCTCATCCAGCAGTTTCCTGAAAGACGCTGGGGGTTTCAATTTCAACAGCACGGGGGGGTAGCCTGTTGCATACTCCCACTGCCCTTTGTGTAAAGCAGTGCCACCAGTACTCAGTTTTAAATACACTTCCACTTACTTTTCACCTGTGTCCTCAGGTTTGTCTTTCACTCACACAATTCTGAAGAAACCTACTAGATTTTTGCGAGCTTGTATAGGATCCCCTAGTAATAATCTCCGTTCAACACTAAAAAAGTTTGGTTCCTTCAGCCTGTCGGTGTAGGACATTCCCTTAAGCCTCAGAATGAATCCAGTTGCTCTTCTCTGGAGTGATTCAGAGCAGCAGGATCTTATCTATAACGTGGTGACCAAATTTGTACACAGTGTTTTAAACGAGGCCTAAATAGTACCTGGTACAATCCTAACATCACATCCCTTAATTCAGTTTCTACACTTTTGACTATACTCAACATCTTGTTTGCCTTTTGAATTGATTCTCCGCATTAGAAGATGTACATGATGAGTCGACACAAACAGCTCCTTCAGCCAGTGTCTTTCCTAACCTGCAGTCTTGTTTGTTACCACAGCCATGGCATTCATCACCTACATCCTGGTGGCAGGGCTGGCTCTGGGGACTCAGAACAGGTGAGCTGGCAGGCTTTGCGCTTGTATAAGGTTACTGCGCCACACAGCACTGATATAGAGCTGCACTCTTGTAACAGACGGCTGCTGTCTCTCTCTTCAGCTTGCGTCTTCCATTGCAGCTGCTGAAAAAAGGGCTGAGGTGTCTGTCTTTACCTGGACGTGTTTTGTAAAAGCTTGTAAAGGGTTTACTTATTGTATAGTTCAGATTCATTGGTTGCTTATTGTGTCGTTCATCGGAATCCTAGGAGCAGTGTTCTGTGGGTGCTGTGGGGTGGGGGCTCAAGCACCCCCGATATTTTTTTATCATATTATTGTTAAATCAGGGGTTAATGCTTGTTCAAAAATGTTCCTTAAATAGTGTGGAAAACTTTCCACTTGCAGTATGCAGTATTGCAGTACTGGAGTATGCAATGTGTTGTTTAGAGTAAGATGCAACAATCATGGCAGGTGAGTGATGGATCACGGGAAGTGCATGTGTGGTTTAAAAATGGGCAGTGTAAGTCCTGTGTGATGGCGAGGTTTGGCAGAAATGCTGCCGTGCAGCTGCTGCCAGGGTCCTGTATGTTGACGTGGGGGTTTGCCAGAGTGAAGCAATCCAGGCTGTAGCTTACAATCCCATCAGAGCAAAGTCAAGCTAGGTCACCGCTCCTCTCCTCCTTTCCTCCTGTGGTGTGTAGGTTTTCCCCTGAAATTCTGGGCATGCAGGCCAGCTCAGCCCTGGTGTGGCTCATCATCGAAGTGCTGGCTACTCTCCTCAGCCTGTACCTCGTCACAGTCAACACTGACCTCACCACCATCGACCTCATAGCCTTCTCTGGGTACAAGTATGTGGGGTAAGGCAATTCTAATGCTAGCAGAAAGTGCTGAATGTCTGCAAAACACTGGTCTGGCATATTCAAATGAGCAGCCTGGATATAGATTAGAAACAGGAGGTAAAACACCAAGCCTAAAATGGAGCAGGCTCAAACCCAAGCTTTTATCTGAGAAGTGGTCCGTACTCTTAACAGACGTGACCGTAAGGAGAGAGTAAACAGTAACTGATCTCCATCAAACCATCTGGTCCAGATACTACCTCGCTAAGCAAGCAAAATGTATAAAAACTAAAAAGTATGCACCCCTATTTTCAGGGAATGCCGAGTGTCACATGGCACAGGTCTTTTTCATTTTGCAGTGCAGCATAGTAACAAAGTTACTAGAAATGGCCATATATTTACAACAACACAATGTTTCAGCTGCTTAAAGGTAGTCAGCTGAGTAAAGATGCTCACTGCATTGTAAATATCTGGCGCATGGTTCGAAGGGATAGAAAAAGAGAATGCAATCCAGTCTGCGCTTTTCTGTCTGATCTTTTTACCCTCTACTGTGCTGATCCTCTAAGAAGGCTGACTTACTGATTAACCACAGTTGGTTTACTCTCAGTGAAAAGTTAGGACACTTTCCTTGCCATGTTTACTGCTTTGGGGACCTGATCAGATAAAGACAGCTGTGCAAACATTCCCAAGTCTTTCCTTAAAAGAATACCATCCAGACACTGGGCGAAAAGGCAGAACTTTAAGGATGCAGCTGTATTGTTACATGCAGAGAATATAGGTGTTACATGCTCAGTGCATTTTTATAGAGTTACAGTTGTGCATTTGCTAGATTACAGGGTAGTTACTATACTCTGTTTATGCTTTTAGCTCGTTGCCTGCACTGGAGAAAGCAGGTGGTAAAGTATCCTGATTAAAATGTCTCCAACGTGTTGACATGTTCCACATCTCCCTATTTTACTTTTACACTTTCATACCATAAAAAGGGAATCATACCGTAAAAAAGCAATTTAGAGCACCCTTAAGGAAGAACAAAGACAAAAAATGTTCCTGAAAAAACTGCTTTCACGCCCTGGCTGAGAAGGGTACCGCGTTAGTTTGGAAAGTGCTGACTTGGGTAGGTTCTTCGGTGTAACTTGTCCTTCACGTTTTCACCCCTGTCCCTGCAGAATGATTGTAGGAGTTGTGGCCGGGCTGCTTTTCGGAAGAACAGGTTATTATCTGATGCTGCTTTGGTGCTGCATAGCCATCTTTGTCTTCATGGTAAGCTTTTAGTTTGTGTTTTTTTTAATTTTAGTTTTGTTGAGTGATCCTCCGCATCATGTTGGAAAACTGAAATGGACCTGTTGCGTTGCCAAGACAAGGTGACCCATGTGCACTCACCTCACTTTCATTGTTATGCTGAAAAGCGCCAGTTTTTGTTCCCCCTACATTTCCAAAAAGAAAGATTCCTCGGAGAGGCTATGAAATAGCAATGTAATTAATTAAAGATTTTTTTGGATATTTCAGCTTTTATTATAATTTCTTAAAATTACACTGAAATTACATTCTCATCCTCCCACAACAAGCTTGCAGCAGGACAACACGCTTGTGCCCATGCTGCTTGTGGAAGATCAACTGTGCTGCACAGTGAAAATGTGGACATTTTCCTGTGCACTGCTTGCCAGGCAGGAGCCAGAGATCAGTGATCAGTCACATGCTTGTCCAGAGTGTGTGAGAGAATGGGACACAATCCCACAGGACACCACCTTCAGCCTGGTGCAGAGCACTATTTTGCAGAACATCAGTGGCCACAAGTTCCTAACCTGAGGCTTACACACACAGTAGACACTCCTATCGTTCATTCCTGCGAATGACAGGTGTCAATCTGTGTCTCATGAGTTTACATTTGATTGAACAGACATGACACAGGTCATCGCTGGTTAACTTTGTGGGCCTGTTGCAGTTGTAAGTGATGGGTTCCTTTCGATGCTCTGCATGTAAAACCTCTGAATTTTCCCTTCTATGTGCCTGTCTCACCCGACTCGTACCCTTAGTTAAGGGAAAAAGACACGCTATTTCACATGGAGGGCTTTGATGTTGAAGGTGTTTGATGTAATAAGCCCCTGGACTGTGGCAACAGGAGGTTTTGCCCCACATGCTGACAGTTTCCCATGATCCCCCTCCCCCCGGCAGATCAAGACTTTAAGGCTGAAGATCCTTTCGGAGGCGGCAGCGCAGGGCGTGCTGGTGAGGGGGGCGAAGAACCAGCTCCGGATGTACCTGACCATGGCCATCGCGGGCCTGCAGCCCGTCTTCATGTACTGGCTCACGTACCACCTGGTCAGATGAGGTGCCCGCGCGCTCGGGGGGGCAAGCCGTGGGCCCCCCGCCGCTGCCGCCGCGCCCCTCACTTCCTGATCATCTCACCCGGGGACGGCTTCAACCTGGAATTCTGCAGAACCATCTCTAGCGGCGCCGGCACACTGCTCAGCACAAACGGACTGTTTTGTATTTTTATTTCGGAATGTGAATGTTTACCGCAGATCATGGGAGAGCATCCTTCCCGTAGGGAAGATTTTTGATGTGTTGTTATTTTTCGGTCAGCTCTTTTGAAGAGGAAGGCTAGCATACGCTTTCAGCTGATAAGTGGGTATTCTCCAGGAAACGCAGGGGAGAGGAGGGATTGCGGGGCGCACATCCATACACCACAACACATTGCCCACGCTTTTCATTAGGTTTCCCCCCTCCCGTTGCTAAAATCAAACGCTTAGTGAACTCGAATCACCAGCTCGGACTCAGAATTGGCGGTGTTGTGTGCGTTATCCCGTTCGCCTTACTTGAACAAGTGAAAATTCAGGGCAAGCCGCCGGTGGAGGCATAAACCAAAAACCCTTCGTTGTAGTGGAGTCACGGTGGGCGAGGACGTGCGCTGTTCGGCGATTACAGCGGCTGTAGGCCGCCCTCTCTCCGGCGATTACAGCGGCTGTAGGCCGCCCTCTCTCCGGCGATTACAGCGGCTGTAGGCCGCCCTCTCTCCGGCGATTACAGAGGCTGTAGGCCGCGCTCTCTCCGGCGATTACAGCGGCTGTAGGCCGCGCTCTCTCTCTCTAACCGCTTCGGAGAGGAATGATGGCGCTGCTCCGTTCCCGGCTGCAGGCCCGGAGCCAGGTTCGAGCCCCAGCCTTTCTGCTGGGGGAGAGGGGCCCAGGCGCAGCGGGCAGTGTTGGGCTGCTAACGATCATTCCAGCCACACAGGAAGGGCTGATCGATTAAAAACACGCCCTGATCACACAGGCCTTTCTCGGCTTTCAGCTGCAGCATTGCGCCACCCCCAGAACTGGCCCTCTTGTCATGTTGCAGCCTCATTCCTGAAGCGGTCCTGCTACAGTGTCCGTACTCCGATGTGTCTGAACGCAAAAGAACTTAATATGGCCTCTGATTGCCAGGCAATAAGAATAAATCAGGGTGTCAGAATTTTTATTTCACTTGTTGGTCATCGCCCCCCAAATAAAGAAAGAACATCAGTCAGATGGGTCACCAGTTTGTTTCAGAATGCTAGAATTTCAGAATGTCACTGGCACTTCCGACTGGTCGTGTGCCTTACGCCATTCCCAAGACACGATTAAAGAAATGCAATCCCATTACAAGGGCATCCACCCTGCGGAAAAGCAGCCGTCGGAGAAGCTCTTCATGCACATCGTGCATAAGTGGTTGAAAAAGAAAGGGGCTACTCTGAACTATGTCTTGTGGAATTGAGCCTTTCTCTTTAGCTGTTTTTACTGATGTGTTCCTTTTAGCCAATCCTGTTGCGTATTAGGCTGGTCCCCGTTTTACAGCATGGTTGTATTGGTAATTGGCAATTGTATTGGTAATTGGGAAGAGTTGTCAGATGCCTCTGTACACCACTTGTGTCAGCAGATTTACAGTAAGGGTTGCTGAAGAGTGGAGCCAACAGTTAATCAGTTTTGTCCTTCTGCTGCCCTCTAAGGCCACAAAACACCTTTAAGGTGTTTTCCCTGCACGTCCTCTGTAATTCGGATTGCAATCGGAGCTCTGGTACCGCGCTTTACAATCCATTTGAACTCTTGCTAATATCTGTTTTGTAAGTCTTCTCACAATTCCACAATGTGGATGCTTTTGATGTGTGTCCTGCGAGTATGTCATTTATTTATATTTGTACCCGTGAGTGGGTGATGAAACAATAAAAAGAGACGAAACGGATTTTGCTGTTGTGACTGTGGGTCCTGTCCTGCACCAGGATGCTTCTTACTCCTCTTTCCAGTGTGGTCGCTGTGCCTTCTGTCTGCTGTTGTGACACCGAGACGCTGCGCTCCACGATATCTCCACACCTCTGGGATGCAGCGGTTTCAACCTTTTTTGATAGAAAATAAACTCATGATACCTACTCGCTGGTCACTCCTGTTTCCTTAGTCTCCTTGTTCCCATCCTGTCCCAGGACTGACCGTCCTGTTTCCAGCTGATCTCCGTGTCCACCTGGAACCTCCCAGTGGTAAGGGCAAAGACCCACCCACCCTTGCACTCTCTTCACGTATCAGTGTGAACTGAAAATAAACCACCCCCCTCAACCAGGACTGGAACCTATAACCTCCAAGTCTTTCCAATTTACTCCCACTGAACCCCAGAGCACTGGATTCCTGTGATGTCCTGCTCTCTGAGCTGGGTGTCAGATTCCAGGAGCCCTAAACTTTCCACCTTCGCCTCAGTTTCTGCTCCAGGTTTATAACGTGCCCTTGGTGTGTTATAACGAAACGAAGGAAGTGAGCCCACCTCCATCTCTGGGTTCCAAACTGACCAATAAAATGGTCACAGGTCGCCCCAAAATTTCTAAAATGGGAAATTTGGCCAGTACACTGGGGTAGCACCCCTTCTCTTTTTGAGAAATGCCTTGGGATTTTTAATGACACAAAGAGGGCAGGATCCTGGTTTTGCATCTCATCTGAAGGATGGCGCTTTTTTACACAATAGTGTCACAGTCACTATATTGGGGAATTGGGACCATCACAGACACGGTGAGCGCCCCCTACAAGCCCCACTAATACCTCTTCCAGCACCAGCGTTAGCAAAAATCGGCCAGTGCTCCAGCAAGTTGTTTTTTTTTACATCTGACTTCAAAGCTTATCCTTGGAGGTAGTTTGATACCAAGCCTGTTAAGGAGACAGTTTGTTAAACATGAACACGTCGCTCCCTTTCTGAATTGTATCCCGATATAATGTGCGTGTCGTCAGCAATGTAATTGCTCTCCTGTGAAAGCAGGGACAGACAATGCTGCTGAATACCTCTTGAGCGCTAGCTCCATTTTAAGTCTGTGTCAGCAGCGAATGAGGAATGTCTATGAACTCTTTCACAAGAAAGGGCACTGCATTCCAATTGGTATCTGAACCGCGGTTTTCATAAAAGAAATAGAACAGGCCTTCGGCGTCTTCCAAAGGCCCCTTTGAGAAGAGCTTCGTTTGTGTGGCAGTTTCAGTCGCGAGGTGGTGCTGTAACACCGGGTTACAGGTCGAGCCCTGACAACTCCTGAATTCATTCGATAGCATGAGATCGCACTGTCTGGGTAAATCTCTACTAATGCTTGAGGGAGAGAAATCTGTATGTAGGGAGCCCCTAATATGGCGCCTAAGTAATTTTATTCAAATAGCCCACAAATACCACTGCAGGATGCAGATTCTTCGCACATACAAGGACTTTTCGAAAGTCGGCAAAATTCGGCATCAGAGCCGTCCACAGAGCCTGCGTACTTTAATTTATTACGCGTCACTGGCAGCGTACACAAAACAGAAAGGAAGAGTCAAGCCCGGAGGAATCGCGGGAGTCCTGAATTTACGCTTATTGACAAAGCAGATCAATCAATTGATATAAAGTGTCTCACAGCTCCAGTCTTTCCAAGCTCAATCCTGGTCATCCGCGCTCGCCAGTTCCGCGCGTCAGGCCAGATGCGGGATATGTCCTGATGGCTCTGGAAGAGAGATTGCACCTCACAGAGCTCTCTGCCTCCGATATTCACAGCCTAGTCGTCAGTCGAACCTCCAGGCACCCACAGATCACCATTCTCTCACTCCTGGAAGCGATTGGCATTTTAGCCAGTAGCAGTTACTTTAGTAACGGAACGACACCAGTATGATCCTTCGTTTTCCGTGTTTTTGTTCTGTAATAACAAAACGTCTGACTGCAAAACAACATGTTGGTCTGATCAAGCCCTACTTCAATAAATAGCCATGCTTCAATAAATTACTATAAGGTGCAGAGCCTATCACCACTACACGGTCCAAACCTTCACAGCAGAGAATGTGCTGCTGCATGACAAAAGTACAGGAAGCTTGAACTTTCCCAGACCCCGAGCTGGTGTGAGCCCACCAGGACAGCCTTGTCTTACTGCACAACAGAGGCTTGTGTGGACTGTCAGCCAGGCACCTCTGAGCTTTCAGAGTTATCAGGGAATCCTTACTCCTGCCTCGGCTCAAGTGCCTGACCTCTTCCATTTGGCACTGCCTTGTAGTTCAAACATCATAAGACCTCATTGCATTTGTATAGAACTTTTCGTCTCCGAGGGTCCCTAAAGCACTTTGCCTACAGGAGGGAACCCATTTCACCCACCAGGGCAGTGCAACCCCCACCTGGCTGGCGTGTGGCAGAGAATCTGCGCCCCTCACAGCAGATGGACTGGGGTGGGGGTGGGGGGCAGGAAAGTGGTCTACCAGCGCCAGGAAAGTGCTTGCAGATCACGAAGGCCGCAGGAGTGAGACTAGCTGGTTAGGCACTAGCTATTCCAGCGTGTAGAGCACACCTAGGGTCACACTAAGAGAGGTGTGGTCACTCGGCCCTCAAGACAGACTTGGGCTTCATAACATCACAAAGTCTTGCCAAGACTGTCCTTTGAGATAACACCTACTGTGTATATAATTCTTTTCTCACACCTTCTCCCACCTGAAGAAGGCTCCACAGCCGAAACATTGTGTTTCCTTTCTTCTCTTTTCAGCAGGGAATAAACCTGTACTTGTTCCTAGAATTCTCTCTATAAATGCCTCTGAGCTTTCAGGACCTTTTTTGCTCACGTACAGAGGAGAAAACAAGTCAAAAAGAAAGAGTGCCACATGAAACCATTGAGCAGGATCATCCCAGCCAGTTACTTCAATTCAACAGCTTTTCCAGTGAACTACAGAGTACCTCAGTGTGATTGACACAGCAACACTTCATGGGGACGTATCCTGTCTGTCACAGCACTCCGGAATGAGTCAAATTAGAACAGTGTACAGCGAAAGCCAGCTGAGATCTAGGAGCTACTGTAGGTACAGCTAGTTACTATTTTAAAAGACAAAGACCACCCGCTCAAGACAGCGATAACAAAAACTAACAATAAAGGTAGCTCTACTGGGTTAGAGCAGTCCATCTGATCAGATTGAAGCCAAGTCAGCAGAATGGATATAGTGATGTATTTAAACTTTCCAAGGTAAGAAATAAGAAGAGGTCAGGGCTGGTTGGTTACTTGTATCTAACTAATCCCCAAGATCGCGGTTTGATGGAAGGATCTGAACAGAGCTTTAAGAAAAACTGGCAGGTTATGGTTCAGGCCAGGGAGTGCCGATGATCGTACCTATCCAAGGTGAAAGTGCAGCTGACTGGATAGTTTAGCCCGTGTAAAGACAAGTTAAAAAATGATCAGTCCGGGCATCGCTATCAGCAAGTTTGCTGCTCTTTCTCTTTCATGAACGGATGGAAAGATGAGAGGGGAATTCACAGGGGCGGTAACAGATGGCACTGCTGCCTCAAAGCTTCTGGGTTTGATTCCAGTCAGGGGTGCCCTTCTGTGTGGAGTTTGCGTGTTCTTGCCAGTGTTCCAATGGTTTTCCCCAGGCACTCTTACAGTCTATTCTACAACACGCCCCAGCCTTGAGGAGCCAGGCGATGCCCCCTCTGTAAAGCAATCTAGCCTGTCCGGCGTTGCTCTGCTGAACCCATTTGGACAGGGCAGGCGATGGAAACAGGCAGGGGAATAAATCCGAAAGGAAAGCAGTTTGACTGTAGCTGTGCTGTGTAGTAGCTGTTTCCATCACTTCGGGCTAATGTCAAGGTGCTGAATTGTAAAATCAAAATTGTCAAGTTAAAATTGTTATCTTTTCCAGATCTCTTCGCCTGTGGACGAGACCAGAACTTGTCCAAGTCTTACTCTAGGGTCCCTTTCCAGAGCTGTGTCTTATTTTTTCAGGCTCTCTACAAAGACATGTGTTTTAACCAGGGGTACTGATAGAAGCCTACAAGTCTGCATGCCAGCAGTCTGTTGTCTGTTGATAAATGAGGTAGGAGAGTACAGAGTATGGTCTTTATGATTTGAAGGCATGAAAAAATACTACCCAAGAACTGTGATCTAATTTGTAAGATATACGATATATACCTTCCATCAATTTCATATGTTCCTCTTGAACTGTTAAAGCACAGATTGCTGGTGTACCAGAGGGTAATACTGCACATTTTTTGCAAACCTGGTTTAAATGAGCAGAGCTGTCCTGTTATGTCTTAAAACAAAGGGATGAACAAGTTGCTAGTGCTTCAAGCTGTCTGTTCTCTTAATAAGCCCCTGTGACTTTAATGAACCGTGCCTGGCAGAGTGTGATTGTGTGTGGATGTGTGTGAGTATGTGTGTGTTTCTTGCTAAGGGTCTTTAGCTCCTCCCTCTAATAGGGACCATGCAGATTTTAATGGATCGGCTTCTCGCTCGCTATCTTCTATTGATACCCGGATGGATATTGACTCCGTGCCAGCATGGTACTACTTTATTCCCTTATAGGCGCGGACGGATCAGGAGCACACCACTTCCAATGAAGAAAAGGACCAGTTAACCGCCGCTTAAATTTAATCATATTCATCCACGCTCCCCCCCCCCCACCTCCCTTTTGGTAACACATCTCAAATGTCTTTTGTTCTCTTATTTTAATGTTTGTCAGCGTGCACTCCGGCTAACTTTGTGCCGCCGGAGTATTTTGACGGAGGAGGAAATATGACGGCGGAAAATGTCAGTGGTAAAGTGACAACTGGATATTTACATCTTGATTTTTTTTTTCCTCTTAAAAATGTTTTATGTGTTGTCTCCAGCTCTGACCTCACCTATTGAAGGACGTCAGAGCGATTTGCGGGACTCGAATTAACCCCGTGTGCGCCTCTAACGGTCACGACCCACTTGCCTTACAGTAGATAAACATTTCTCA